CTCCCTCCCCATCCCCCTTGCTGCCCTGGCTGCAACGTGGAGCCCGCTGGCCGGTTAGCGCGGACGCGAGAGGGGGACAGGCGACAAGTGCCTTGCCCCCCCTCCCTCCCCTCCTGGTCAATCAAGCCCGTGGGCCAGCCCTCGGAGGGAAGGCCGACGCGCTGGCCAAGCCTGGACTTGGCAGCCACGACTACGAAGAGACGACGACGTCCACGACCACGACGACGACGAAGACGACGACGACGACGACGACGACGACGACGACGACGACGACGACGACGACGACGGCGGCGGCGGCGTCGGCGGCGACGGCGGCGACGACGACCGACGACATGGACGGGCAGAAGGACGCGGAGGAGGGCAAGGATGACAGCGAGCACGGGCACGACGGCGGGGACGTGGACGAACGAAGGCGAGGGCGACAGGGGCGGACCCTCGTGCGCGTCCGGCTCGCCCGGGGGGCTCCGCCCGCGCCTCGGCCGCCACCTGGGCGCCTCGCCCCGATCGCCCTTAGCGCCAGGCGCGCGCCCCCCCACTCCGCTCCGATGCTGGCGGGGGCGCGCTCCTGGGCCGCGAGCTGCGCTCGCCTAGGAGAAGTCCCTCCTTCGATGTGGCGGCGCGGCTGTGCTCGGCGGGCCCGCGCCGCCTCGACGCGCTCGCGCGGGCGTTCGCCAAGGCTGCGCGCCATCCGAGAGGCCCCGTGTCGGGCCCACGGGAGGCAGCCCAGTGCGCGGAGGCCATGCGAGCAATGTGGCCAGCAGCCCCGGAGGACCTCCGAGGGCGGAGATCCTTCGAGATCGAGCGGCGCACGCGGTGTCGGAGAGCGGGGCGGATGTCGTCGCGTCAGGGACCCGCCGCAGTTGCCCCGCGCGCGGGGAACTTTTGTAGCAGGGCATTGCGCGCACACGTTGCTGGGATATTCTTCCCCTAAGTCGCAACGCAGACCGCATGGCCGTCTGCCGCACGTGCACCCTGTAGCACGGCCTCGTGCACGCGCTGCTTGGAGGCTCCGCTCCTCCTCTTTTTCAGTACAGCCCGCATAGCTACCAATGTGGAGATAAATCAGTATTACCGGTACACTCACCCACTGCCCATCGACCTTCTCATCTTCCCCCTCCATCCCACCCGACTCCACGTTCGTCATCCTGTTTTGATTCCCCTGCCCCCACTCCCCTTACCCTCCTCATCATAATCATCATAATCATCATAATCATCATAGTCATCATCATCATCATCATCATCATCATCATCATCATCATCATCATCATCGTCATCGTCATCGTCATCGTCGTCGTCATCGTCATCGTCATCATCATCATCATCATCATCATCATCATCATCATCACAATCATCATCATCATAATCAGCAGCATAATCATCATCTGTATCATCATCATCATCATCATCATCATCATAATCATAATCGTCATCATCATCGTCATCATCAACAACACCATCATCAGCAACAGCACCAGCACCATCAGCAGCATCATCACCAGCAGCAGCATCAGCATCATCAGCATCAGCAGCATCAGCATCATCATCATCGTCGTCGTCGTGGTGGTGATCGTCATCATCATCACCATCATCATCAGCATCAGCATCATCATCACCAGCAGCAGCATCAGCAGCAGCATTAACAGCAAAAATCATCGTCATCATCAGCAGCATCATCATCTGCCTCCCCCTCTGTCATCTCCTCATCCCTGTACTCTTGATTGCCCTCCTCTCCCTTGCCCATAGTCCTCCCCGTCCCCACGGTTTCTCATAATCATGATCGTCATCAGCAGCAGCAGCAGGTGCATCATAATAATCATCAGCACCATGATCATCATCATCATCACCAGCATCATCAGCAGCAGCATCAACATCAGCATCATCAGCGTACTCATCGTCATCATCATCATCAGCAACAGCAGCATCATCGTCTGCCTCCCCCTCCGCCATCTCCTCATCGCTGTAGTCCTAATTGCCCTCTTCTCCCTTCCCATAATCCTCCCCGTCCCCATGATCTCACATCATCATCATCAGCAGCAGCATCATCAATATCATCATAATCATCATCATCAGCAGCAGCATCATCAGCAGCATCACCACCAGCATCACCCGCAGCAGCATCAACATCAGCATAATCATCGTCATCATCAACAACATCATCAGCAGCAGCATCATCGTCTGCCTCCCCCTCCGCCATATCCTCATCCCTGTACTCCTAAGTGTCCTTCTCTCCCTTGCCCATAATCCTCCCCATCCCCCATGGCCTCGCAGAATCATCAGCAGCAGCAGCATCATCATCGTCACCTTCATCATCATCAGCAGCATCATCATTGAAAGCTTTGGCGGGCGGCTGGATCACCACCCATTGTCCAGCGCCTATGTGTTTTCCAGCAGTTGCCGCTGGCGCCCTCGCCTCCTGCACCCGTCAGCGGAGCGACGAACAGGCGTTTCTTCAGGCAGTGCGCCCTCCCAGCACGCGTTCCCCGCGCGCCCTCCCCGCGCGCCCTCCCCGCGCGCCCTCCCGGCGCGCCCTCCCAGCGCGCCCTCCCAGCGCGCCCTTCTCGCGCGCCCTCCCGGCGCGCCCTCCCGGCGCGCATTACTGGCGCGCCTTCCCCGCGCACCTTCCCCGCGTGACCTCCCGGCGCGCCTTCCCCCGCGCTCTCCCGGCGCGCCTTCCCGGCGCCCCCTCCGACATCGCCGCCCCTACTCCGGCAGGAATCATGATACAGTCAGGGATTTTGGTTTAGCGTGTCGCTCCGCTAGTTCTGGCCCACTACGCTTCGGCGCGACACGATATCCACGTCCCCATTCCCATCGTTAACGTCCCAAGCATTTCCTAGCCTCCAGCGGAGCGGAGCGGAGCGGAGCGACACGCTATCCGCTTGCAGGGCATAGCGTGTTGCCAGGGCCACCGCCGCGACACGCCAAGCGAAAGCCCCCGACCGCAATAGACCAGCAGCATAGATTGTCAATGTCAGAGATGCAGCACAGCGTGCCCCAGCGCAGTGATAGCCGTCGAACTGCCCGCAGATGCGGGCGATCATCATCATCATCATCATCATCATCATCATCATCATCATCATCATCATCATCATCATCATCATCATCATCATCATCATCATCATCATCATCATCATCATCATCATCAGCATCATCATCATCATCATCATCATCATCATCATCATCATCATCATCATCATCACCACCACACCACCCACCACCACCACCACCACCACCACCACCACCACCACCACCACCACCACCACCATCATCATCATCATCATCATCATCATCATCATCATCATCATCATCATCATCATCATCATCATCATCATCATCATCATCATCATCATCATCATCATCATCATCACCACCATCATCATCAGCAGCAGCAGCAGCATCAGCATCATCGGACCCCATGGCGGACGTCTTCGGCGACTTCGGCTCCGGCTCCGCGCCGCCGAGGGAGCGGCCCCCCAGGCGGGCGCTCCCTCGGCGCTGGCGCGGCTGCCGGCTCTGCTGCGGCTGCCCCTTGGGGCAGTGGCCCGCGCCCAGGCGGCGGAGGGGGCTGGCTTCGGGCGAAGAGAACTATGCACATGCACCGATCCTGGCAAGGCCCATTTTTGACCCAGGATCGGTGCATGTGCCTTCCTGGCCAAGGTAGGAGGGCGTATGCACCGATCCTGGGCTCAGGATGGGCCTGGCCAGAATCGGTGCATGTGCATAGTTCTTTTTCCTCTACTGGCTTGGCTGGCTTGGCGGCGGCGGCCAGGCCAGGCTGAAGTCGCTGGAGGCAGGTGAAGCGTTGAGGTGGAGAGGGTGGGGGGGGGAATCAGCATCACCATCATCATCATCATCATCATCATCATCATCATCACCATCATCATCATCATCATCATCATCATCACCATCATCATAATCATCATCATCATCACCATCATCATCAGCAACATCATGGTTATCCTCCTCCACATACGTTTTTGGTGTCGCGGCCACGCGCGCAGCGGCGCGACGTAGAGCAGGTCGAAGGAGAGGCGCGTCCTCCTCAACAAACACGCACACACAGACCCTTTCACCTAAAGACCACACTGGAGCTCCCCAGAACCTATCGGAACTCTTCGTACTCCCCGAGAAAACAGATCATAATCGCATCCTCCTCCTCCTCCTCCTCCTTCAATTGTCCCGTCCTCCCCCCTCTCCTCTTCCCCACCTCCTGCGATTGAGACATACTGCTTACGTCCTTGAAACATGAAATCCCCGATAGCTACACGAATGGAGGGCGGCCCATTTTCAAAATGGTTATCGCTTTGGCGCCGCGGAAAGTCGCCTTAAACAAGTCCAACACTTACGTACCCAGATGGAGGGCCGCTCTTTTTCAAGATGCGGGTTTCGTTTTTGCGCCGCGCACACTCAACTTAAAGGTCGTTCAACGACCACACGAATGGAGGGCGACGCCTTCTCAAAATCAGGTTGACGCTTGATATTGCCTCCACATGAAGCACCTCATGTTTAAGATCGTGGAGCACGTGGACTAAGGGTGGTTCCTGTTCAAGTGGGGTTCTCGGCGGAGATTCCCCTAATGCTCATTGTCAGAATTCCTACATCGCGGAACGGGTGGATGGGAGGGTTATTGTGGCATCCTCGATATATTTTGAGTGTTTGTCTCGTCCCTTTCGTCCTTCCTCCCTCCTCCTCCTCCTCCTCCTCCTCGTCCTCATCATCATGATCATCATCATCAGCAGCAGCATCATCATCAGTATCATCTTCATCATCAGCATCATCATCACCTCCTCCTCGTCTTCCTCATCCTCCTCATCATCAACATCATCATCATCAGCAGCAGCATCTTCATCATTATCCTAACCGCATTAATTCTCCTCATTCTCCCTAACCCCCTCCTCCTCCTCCTCCCCCTCCTCTTCCTCCTCTTCCCTCACTCCTCCCCCCCTGCCCCTCATCTTCCCCTCTCCTTCCACACTCCCCCTTCCTTCCCCGCGCGACAGGCGCTGGAGCTCAGCCAGGTGGTCATCGTGGTGGGGGAGACGGGCTCGGGCAAGACGACCCAGTGCCGGGGCCTCCGCGGCCGCCAGAGTAAGGAGGAGGAGGAGGAGGAGGAGGAGGAGGAGAGGGAGGAGGAGAGGAGAAGGAGGGGGATGGGGAGGAGGAGGAGGTGGTGGAGGAGGAGGAGGAGGAGGAGGAGGAGGAGAGGAGAAGGAGGGGGATGGGGAGGAGGACGACGATGACGAGGAGGAGGAGGAGGAGGACGACGATGACGAGGAGGAGGAGGAGGAGACGGAGGAGGAGGAGGAGGAGGAGGAGGAGGGCGCCGACAACAGAGAAAGGTTCGACCTCATTCGGCATGCAAGGGGAGGGCGACTCCGCAGGGAAGAGGTCGGGGTCGTCCCCCACGCCCCCCTCCCAGCGTGCCGCCCGCCACCCGCCCCCGCCCCGCGAGGGCAAGCACGATCGGGCCCGCCCGCGCCCCTCCCCCCCTCCCGCTGCCTCCGATTGCTCTGCTGCTGCCGCAGCTGCGGTGGCTGTTACCCCGTGAGCCCATGATCGCTGGCCGCCCTCCGGGGCCGTCTTCGTCGCCCCCGTCATCTTCGTCGCCCCGTCAGCGTTGTCGTCGTCGTCGTCGTCGTCGTCGTCGTCGTCGTCGTCGTCCTCGTCGTCGTCGTCGTCGTCGTCGTCGTCGTCGTCCTCGTCGTCGTCGTCGTCGTCGTCGTCGTCGTCGTCGTCGTCGTCGTCGTCGTCGTCCTCGTCGTCGTCGTCGTCGTCGTCGTCGTCGTCGTCGTCACCTGGTCCACCGCCGGCCCCATCCCTCTGCAGCGGGCGGGGGCAGGGGCGGCGCGCAGGAGGCCTGGGCCGACCCAGGAGGCCCTGGGACCAGGCGGCAGAAGAGGGGGCGCAGATTCGGCCCTCCTTGCGAGGGAGGGGGGGCCCATCATGGGCCATACTGCGACAGCTCGAACCCCGACGGGCGGGGTACCGTCCCGACCGAAAGCCTGTTCCCCCCAGCTTCGGCCTCCAGGGATCTATAGGCCCCAATCGAGGCAGGTCTGTCTGATCGGATCACGAAACAAAAAAAAAAAAGTTGGTCTCAAAGCTTCCCTTGCCATGGCGGATGGCTGGTCCCAAAGCTTCTTTTGCCATGGCGCCATGGTCCGAGGGACCGGAGCGAACGGAAGATGCCAGCCGCTTGGGCGGACCAGCACGCAGCTCGGGTCAGGGCTGACTGACCGAAAGGTGGCTGCTGCCACGGATCAGCGGAATCCACGCGTTCCATTGCAGATCTCATGTGTTTTGAGCCAACATGGCCACGGAGGAGGAGAGGGGGAAGGGGAGGAAGCGGAGGAGGACGAGGAAGGGGAGGACGAGGAGTGAAGGAGGAAGAGGAGGAAGAGGGGCTTCTTGGGCCATTTTGAGGCCATCGTTGGCTGTCTTGCAGCTTTACTGGGCCGTCTGCAAACTTCGTGGACCGCCTTGGAGGTCTCTCGGGCCGTCTTGCACCGTCTTGGGGCCCTCTTGGAGGCCTCCTGGGCCGTCTTCAACATTCGGGACCCAGTGGGGCGTCTGAAGTTGTTGGTTGCCCGAGCTTGCAAGAGCAACGGCAACCTTTCGAGAAATCCATGGTTGCTGCGTCCTGTGGCCTCCTGAGAGCGCTCCTGGTGCTTAACTGGGGGTCCTGCAGCCCGTGCCCCAGAACTCGGCCTCTCCGACTGGGCCTTGACGGGCTTTGCCCGAGGCACTTCTCCTCCAGGCATCCACCAGGCGCCGCCCCTCGGGCGTTGCGTATAATGAGGGGGCGATGATAAGTGTCGGGGTGAAGACAGGTGCAGCGTTTCTTCCTCCTCCTCCTCCTCCTCCTTCTCCCACTCCACCTCCCTATCCTCCTCCCCCTCCTCCTCCTCCTCCTCTTCCTCCTCCTCCTCCTCCTCCTCCTCCTCCTCCTCCTCCTCCTCCTCCTCCTCCTCCTCCTCCCCTCCTCCCAATCCTCCCCCTTCTCCTCCTCCTCCAACTCCTCCTCCTCCCCCTCCTCCTCCCTCCTCCTCCTCCTCCTCCTCCTCCTCCTCCTCCTCCTCCTCCTCCTCCTCCTCCTCCTCCTCCTCCCTCCCCCCCTCCTCCTCCTCCTCCGTCTCCTCCTCCTCCTCCTCCTCCTCCTCTCCTCCTCCTCCTCCTCCTCCTCCTCCTTCCTCCTCCTCCTCTCCTCCTCCTCCTCCTCCTCCCCTCCTCCCTCCTCCTCCTCTCCTCTCCTCCTTCTCCTCCTCCTCCTCCTCCTCCTCCTCCTCCTCCTCCTCTCCTTCTCCTCCTCCTCCTCCTCCTCCTCCTCCTCCTCCTCCTCCCCTCCTCCTCCTCCTCTCCTCCCTCCCTCCTCCTCCTCCTCCTCCTCCTCCTCATCCTCCTCCTCCTCCTCCTCCTCCTCCTCCTCCTCCTCCTCCTCCTCCTCCTCTCCTCCTCCTTCCTCCTCCTCCTCCTCCTCCTCCTCCTCTCCTCCTCCTCCTCCTCCTCCTCCTCCTCCTCCTCCTCCTCCTCCTCCTCCTCCTCCTCCTCCTCCTCCTCCTCCTCCTCCTCCCTCCTCTCCTCCTCCTCCTCCTCCGCCTCCTCCTCCTCCCCCTCCCCCTCCCCCTCCCCCTCCCCCTCCCCCTCCTCCCCCTCCTCCGCGGCGGGGTGAAGAAAGGTGCAGCGCTTGTGCCCTAAAGGGGCCCCCTTGGGGCCCAGCAGGGGCACGAAAGGTACACGATTCTCCCCCGTCCCTTCCGTGTACTGCCCCCCCATTGAACATCGCCCGAGCCCCACGGCCGCGAGCTCGTGGTATACAACTACGCTCGGACCAGGCACAAGGTCGAGGTCGGTTCGGGGAAGGTGCCCTAGTGTTCTTCGAGCTTGGTGGACGTGTTTTTGTGCATCCTGGGGAGGGTGCCCTCGAATGTTCTTGAATTTGGCCGGCGGAGGGTCCCATGTTCTTGGTCGGGGCTCAAGAGACGGGGGTCAGTGCAAACGGGGGTCAGCCAGAGCGCCAGATCTTGCAGGATCCTGCAGAGCCAGGTGTGCACTGGCCCGGGCTTCGGTGCAGGATCCTGCAGGTTCCTGCAAGGCCCGACGGACCCGGATTTGCATTGACCCAGGTCAGTGCGTCCCCGATTTGAAGGACGGTCGTCTGCCTTAGGGCCGGCCGTACTCTGCACCTCTGCCCGCAGATTCCAACCCACACATGATCGTGTCTTAGAAAAAATCAGGACGGTTTTCGGCTTCGGGGGGGCCATCGCCCGACCTCGGGAGCATCCAAAAACGACTCAGGACGGAAAAGCGGTCCTGGGGAACGGGTCGGGACTTCCAGGGACCCCGTCCAAAAAAAAATCAGGACGTCGCATGTTTGGGATCACACAGGCTGTGTTCGCCAAATTTCAGGCCCTGGGACCCTCACAGCTCCATGCGGGTCGAACAATGCCGCAGAAAGATGGGGTCCAGGGCTCCGGTCGTCATTTTTCATGATGTCTCACATCAAGACGTCGCATGTCTGGGAACACGCAGTCGGCTCGTTGGGCCGGCGAGGTCTCCCCCATCGGCCGGCCTCCCCCCTCGGGCTGCTCTGTCTGTGTGCCTTCGTGTCTCTTCGGGCCTGCTCGGCCGCCGGCGACGGGCGCCAGGGCCCACTCTCCCCGCACGCCTGCCGTCGCCCCCAAGTCCAAACTCTCTTCGGCGGCGAGCCCGGGGGGGGAAGCGAGAAGGGCGTCCTCCCCCCCTCTTCCTTCCTTCTCCTCCTCCTCCTCCTCCTCCTCCTCCTCCTCCTCCTCCTCCTCCTCCTCCTCCTCCTCCTGCCTCCTCCTCCTGCCTCCTCCTCCTCCTCCTCCTGCCTCCTCCTCCTCCTCCTCCTCCTCCTCCTCCTCCTCCTCCTCCTTTCGGCGGAGAGCCTGGGGTGGAAGTGAGAAGGGACGGGCCTTCTCAGAAGGCTTGGAAGCCCCCCGGCCTCCTGGAAGCTTTTGTTAGCCTTCCCCCGGGACACAAAAAAAAAACCTCTCGGAGGGCCGGAGGGCTTCCGAGGAGCCCCGCCTTCTTCGGAACGGGCCTTCTCCTTCTCCTTTCCCCGCCGCCGCTCGCCGCCGAGCTGTCCCAAGCCGGGCGACCCCGGGGCCCCCACTCGGAGATAGCCAGGACCTCGGGCAAGGGGAGCCTGTCAGTGATTGGGCCCCGAGGCCCACACAACCTGCCAGAATCCCAGACCCCCTCGAGTAATGAAAAAATCATGACGGGAGGTTTTTCCTAGTTTTCGGCCTTTGGGGGCCCTCACCGGGCCTCGGGAGCGTCAAAAAACGACTCAGGATGCAAAGCCGGTCATGGGGAAAGGGTCGGGACCTCTGGGGGTCGACGTAGTGAAAAAATCATTACGTCGGGGGTCTGGGATCACCACACCAGGTGTGCCGTAGCGGGACGTCCCCCGGCACACATCCTTGACCACCAGGCCTCGCGAGACCCAGCTCTGCCGACGCCCGACTTGGGCCCCCGCGGCGGTGCGGCTGGGCAGGTCGGGCGCTGGCTCGAGGCGCCTTCCGCGACAGGCGCGCCCCGGCCTCGACGCGGCGCCGCGGGCGTTCACACGGCGGAGTATACCCTCCAGGTGGCCCCGCTTCGGGCCCCGAGGGGCCCACCTAGAAGGCCGCGCGCAGCGCGAGGCTCTCGCACGAGAGGTGAGGCGGGCAGCCTGCGGGGACCTCCGGGGACGACGACGGACGACGACGCCCCACGACGACGACGACGACGGCGACGGCGACGGCGACGGCGACGGCGACGGCGACGACGACGACGACGGCGACGACGACGACGACGACGACGACGACGACGACGACGACGACGACGGCGACTCAAGCCCCGGCGGCACACGCGGCGCCAGAAGTCTGGGTCACCCGCGGGGGCGCGAGGACAATCGCGGTGTGCGCCTCGCGCGGCGCCGAGCGCGAGGCGCGGAGTTCTAGGTGGCCTCGGGAGCCGGGGGCCCGCGGCTTCGAGGCGGGACCCTGCCGTGGCCCGGACCGACGGCGCTCCCCCAGGGGTGCAGGTCGGCCCGATCACTTCGATGCCGATTTTCGCCCGGCCCGAACCGATTCGGTCTCGATATTTGGGCGATCCGGTGCGGCCCGATGTTCGTGCGGCGTTGGTTGTCGTGCATGTTGGTGCGGCCGACCCGATCCGATTCCGCCTCCGTGCCGACGGGGTCCGATCCGACGCACGTTCCGTTTCGGTACAGGCTCGAAGGATTGCAAAAAAAAAACCTTCGTTTTTTTTTTTGCAATCCTTCGTTTTTTTGCAATCCTTCGTTTTTGCAATCCTTCGTTCCGTTTCGGTACAGACTCTGGGTTCGAAGCGGACCGCTCGGTGTCCGCGGCGACGGCGCCCCCCTCCCCACCACGGTGCGCGCGCCCGAGCCGAGGTCCCAACTTCATCCTCGAGGCCGCCGCCGAGGCCGGCCGCGGCGCAGGGCCTAGCCGAGAAGCAGGGGCGAAGCGCCCTGGCCTGCCTGGAGGCCACGGCCAAGGCCACGGCAACGGCCACAGCCACGGCCACGGCCAAGGCCACGGCCACGGCCACGGCCACGGCAACGGCCCACCAGGGAGCGTTCTAGGAGCCCCTTCTGTGGTTTGCACGAGGTGTTTTTGGAACACGTCTGGCAGACGCAACCTTGTTTGAGTGCGTCGAGTTTGTGAAGTGAGAGCGTTGTTTTGGTGTTAGAATGTTAGTGCGTGCACGGGAATGATGAGAAAGGTTTTTCGGGTGTCGTGTCCAGGCTTGGCCCCCCGCGTTGCTCATCGCAACCGCTCGGGCTCAAGCGTCAAAAGGCACGGGTTTGTCGCTCGATGGCCGTCACGCCTTCCCAGGTAGCACTTTTCGCTTGGGTCGCCGTGATAGCCCCCTCGCTCTCCGGCTGGCTGGCCGGCTCCGCTGCTGGCCGCTCCGCGCCGGCAGGCCCAGGCCGCGCGGCGGCCGTCGACTGGTGCTGGGAGCCCCCGCCGTGGGACTGCACCTGCTCCTGCACCGGCCCGTCGTCGGCGGCGCCCGAGCCGCCTGCCCCGCCCCCGCTGGGGGCCTCGGTGCGGCTCGCGCCCGACGGAGCCGCGGCGATCGAGGTGGTGTGGCCGTGGCTGGGAGGCCTCGCGGTCTCGCCCGACCTCGCCCTCGCCGGCTGCCTGGGGTTCGGGATTTTCGAGGTCATCTTCGTGCTGTATTGCTGTCGCCGTGCTGCACGGCCCGACTCGACGCATCGCCGTGTGATCCACAATGGAGCAAGACTGGGTGCCGGGGACGCAGCTGCTCGTGTCGTTCGTCACTGACCCTGGGTTCAGGCACGAGCGCGTCATCGTGTGGCCGTGTCACGAGGGATCGTGGATCGTGTACACGGGCGGCGGCGACCTGTACGTGGAGGAAGAGAAGGACTGGGACAAGGTGTACCTCATGACGGCGGGTCAGCCGCCGAGGTCTCTGCCAGACGACGGGGCCAAGGTCGTGCAGTTTGCGAGGTTCCCGTCGGACGACGAGCTACGCGGGCTCATCGCCGAGGCCCGCGCCGAGGTGGCATCCTTGCGGGAGTCCGAGCCTGACCGCTGCGTGCCGTCGGACCCGACCTACTTCTTGTCGGAGGACGGCCGCCAGCACCCACTCCTTCGCCACCGCCTCCAGGGCAAGCAGGTGAGGCGCGCCGGCAAGGAAGGCAACCCACCTGTCGCCGATGCGGGCGCTGTGGCCGCCGAGTCCCGTGGCGGCGCTGAGGATGCGGGCGGCGACGTGCTGGCCGCCGACGGCGAGCGACATCGCTGGCTCGTGAGCGAGCCTGGTCTTGTCTGGGAGTTGGGTACCCCTGTGCCGCACGCATCCGTCATGATCAGGCTGGGTGACCGCGGCGTCGCCGACATCAACGGCGTGACGGTGCCGGTGCAGAGCGTTCCCGAGGCGGAAGTGGGCGACTACGCGTCCATGAAGACCTCGGCCTACGAGGTGGCGATCCGCGACGCCGACGGCACGCCCACGGACTTCGGGCGGCGTGTCGGGATCGTGCCGAGCCACTCGCCCTCTCACGGCGAGGCGGCCAAGCCGACCGCCCCCGTGGATGCCACCGAGCCGGGTGACGTTCGCACCCTGTGGGTGGACACTGACGCCATGAACGTCCGATTCAAGTCGTGGCGTAACGTGGTCATGGAGAGCTACCCCACGGTGTGGACCGACAGCCCTGTGGAGGGGCCGTCTAGCTTGATGTATATTCTCAGGCATTCTGATCGGCACGGAGGCAACATCAGGATGTGGCTCGACCTCTGGTCCCGCTCGAAGAACCTGGGGCCGGGCGAGCGTGTCATGCACGAGCTCTCCGTCCTCTGCGAGGTCATCTACGTGGGAGGGACCTACGACCAGCTCAACATGCCGTCGCTGGTCAGCTTCGAGATCATAGCGCGCCGCATCCAGAGTATCGTGGACGCTTACTCGGGCGACCCTTCCCGACCGCAGTGGGCCAACGCGAGGCTCTACTCCGGCGTGGGTTCTGCAGTGGACATGGTCGCGCCCGAGCTGAAGCACTACGTGGCCAAGAAGGCCAAGGACGAGGCCGAGGCCGAGTCCATGCGGGTCCGAGCCCGCAACCTTCCGATCGCTGCCGACGCCGTCGCGGCTGGCGGTCTTCCCGCCGCTGGACGCAAAGCACCTGTCGCCGCCGCGGCGGGCCAGCCCTCCAAAGGACCGGGCCGCGGTGCCCCGAAGGGAGGCAAAGGCGCCGCTGCCGCGGCGGAGAACCAATGAGTGATATGACCCTCGGCGGCGGGACTGGCCCAACCTCCGCCGTTCGCCTTCCTGGGCTTGCACGTGGATCCGCTGAGATCTTCCCGTTGCCCGACGACCCCGGCCTCGTCGCGGACTCCTGGATCCACCTTCAGGGGCGTGCCCAACGCCGGTTCGTGAGGGACTGGCGGCAGTGCGTGCGTTCGCTTAATTGGTTGTGGGGCGCTGGACATCGCGAGGCCGCCCGTCGTGCTCAAGGTGACGTCCATCCATACCGTTTTCGACTTCAACAGGAGGTGCTGGTGCGAATCGCCCAGGGGGTCCAGATCTACATGGATCCACCCTCCGACCTCTCTCCGAAGGAGGCCTTTCAGGGGCTACTTCGAGGCCGCGGGGTCTACGACACCGAGACGGCCTACACTAACCTGGCACCCTACCAACGGGGCGCGGTTTATCTTCCTTGTGGCGTCTCGACGGCCCCGGCTGTGGGAACCCTGGTCACGGGGCGCGCCCTCGAGTATCTGGTAGAGGCAGAGGAGCAGATGATCAGGACTGATGCTGAGGCCCAGCTTGACCGTGAGACGAATGGCGAAATCAAGACCTACACCGACCCCCTGCTCGCCAATAGCCGCCGCCGATACTCCTTCGTGAAGGACCTGAAGCGGAAAGGCTTGGTGGGCTTCACCCGCGATCCCAAGGAGTTCGTAGGTGTTTTCTTCGTGTGGAAGAAGGAGCGTGCCTCCATGAGGATGGTGCTCGACTGCCGTCGCTCTAATCAACGTTTCGTGACCCCTCCTGGGGTGGAGCTGTTGTCTACTGAGGGGCTGGGCCGTATCGAGTGCGACACGGAGCAGACCGGCACGTTACCCATCTTCCTGGGCAAAGTTGACGTGAAGGACTGTTTTCACCGCATGATGTTCGGCAACCACCTCTCCAAGTACTTCTGCTACCCAGGCGGCCTGGCCAAGGAGTTCGGCATCGTCGGGCAGGTGGTGGAGGGGGTGCCTGTGCGCGCCGACGACTACCTCTGGCCTTGCGCCCTCGCGCTGCCCATGGGCTGGACGTGGTCGCTCTACTTCGCCCAGGTGGCCAACCTCGGCCTGGTGGAACGGGCCCCCGCGGTCGCGTCGAGCCGTGTGGCTACCGATCGGGGGCCCCCTATCGTGCTGTCCCCGACCTCCTCCTGGCACTACGTCTACGTCGACAATGTGGGGCTCTTGTCGCTCGACGCCTCCTATACGTCAAGGGGGCTCTGGCGGACACCATCGCGGCCTTCGACGCCGCGGGCCTCATCATGCATGACATCTCGGTGGACTCCGACACCGCCGAGGCGCTGGGAGTGACGCTCGATGGCCAGAAGCACCAGACCCTCGTCAACCACCGGCGCTACTGGAAGGTCAGACTGGCCCTCCGGTGGGCCCTCTCCCTGCGTCGCCTGGCAGGGCGAGAGCTCGAAGTTTTGCTTGGCCACTGTACATTCGTCGGCTTGATGTGCCGGGAAACCCTGTCCGCGTGGCACACCGTCTACACCTTCATCCGCGAGCGGTACTGGGCCAAGAGCGACGTGTGGGACTCCGCACGGCAGGAGCTCGAGTGTTTCCTCGGGCTGATGCCGCTCCTTCGCTCCGAGTGGGATCGGCCGTGGCTCGCGCAGGTACTGTCCGTGGACGCCAGCCCGTACGGCTGGGGGATTGCCAGCTCCGAGTTCGGAGTGTCGACGGTGAAAAAGCAAGGCAGGATCCTCGAACGATCTCGTTTCCGTCGTCTCGGAGGGTTGCCGGCTCGGGCCAGTGCCCTCGCTGCCGCGGGGTTTGTCTACTCACCCACCACCGCTCGATGGCAGGTCGATGACGAGAAGGAGCGTGACCCCTCGGACGTTCGGGAGGCGGGTGCCTGGGAGATGCGTAAGGACTTCCCTGAGATTCCTGGGGCCCTCCTCCACGGGGATCGGTGGCGCTTGATTCTGCATGGCAAGTGGGCCTACTCCGAGGATATCCTGATTCTTGAGGCCCGCGTCCTGGTCAAAGCTGTCGCAAGAGTTTGTAATTGTGTTCCAGGTGGATTCTGCAGAGTATTGTTATTGGGAGATAATATGTCGGTGATATTAGCTTGTGAAAGATTTCGGGCCCGCAGCTTCGGGCTCTTGGTGCAGATCAGACGAATCGCGGCCTACGCTCTGGCCCGAGGGGTTCGATTTGGGTTCAGGTGGCATCCCTCAGAGCTCAATAGTAGCGACGCTGGGTCCCGTATCTACGACCCCAACTACGACTCCACGAAGGATCTCACTCGCCTGGTGGCTGATGGACACGGACCCGGTGACGTCCTGCCTCAGCCTGCGGATCTACCTCGATCCGACGACGTCGTGGCTCAAGATCCAGGATCGCTCGACACCCCTGATCCTTTCGCCTGCACCGCATTCCACGACTGCCATGAAGCGGACCCGCACCCTGGAGGCGCCGAGTCACAACATCGCGGGCCAGAAGAGCCGGCGCACGACGACCAGTACGCATCCGACGGCGACTTCCTGTCCGCCTTCAGCGACCCCGGGGCCATCGAGGACACGTACCCTCCCGCGACCGGAGATTCGCTCGAAGCTGGAAGCTGGGGAGGTGCCCCTGGCCAAAGGGTCTCTGGAGACGCTAGCGGCCAAGGGGCCCGCGTGGGCTACAGCAGCAGTCACGGCCGCTGCCACCGCCGCGGCCGCCGACGCGGACAGCGATGGCACTACTACGGCCGACGAGATGGAGAGGGGAGCCGACGGCAGGTCATCTCAGCAGCGGGTCCGCACCCTGCGCGCCGATCGGCGCGCGCGCAGGTACCTGCAACTAGCCGAGACCCTGCCGCCGCAGTCGTCGGTGCTGGAGGAGATGGCTGTCTCGGTGCGCACGCAGCGCCAGTACGTCATGGAGCTGCAGGGGTTCGTGGACTTTGCCTACCTGCGGCAGCTGCGCACCACCACGCCCGCGCTCATCGACGCCGCCCTGGTAGAGCACATGAACCACATGTTCTTCCGGGGCGAGCAGGCGTTCAGGGGCGAGAAGCTCCTCGCCGCAGTGATGGCCCGCTCACCCGAGTTCTCGAGAGTTGGTATCAGCAAGATGCCAAGAGCCTGGCGTTGCCTGAAGGGATGGAGGCGCCTGACTCCAGGGCGCTCCCGCAAGCCCGCTCCCCTGCCGGTCTGGTGTAACATCGCGGTGGAGTTCGCAAGGCGGGGCATGCTGGCCATGGGGCTCGCCGTGATGATCGGAGTCAGCTGTTACCTCAGGCCCTCGGAGCTCCTCAACCTTACCTCGGACAACCTGGTGGCTCCAGCCTCGCCTGTGTCGCAGTACTGGAGCCTCCTTTTGCATCCTTCGGAGGGGGAGAAAAGGAGCAAGACGGGGGATGCGGACGACTCGCTGATCATCGACTCAGCCTACATGCTGCCGTGGGTGCACGACTTCCTCCAGGCCTTGAAGGACAAAGGGCGGCCGGCTGTGGTCCTTCGACTATCTCACCTTCTTGGCGGAGTTCAAGACTGTGGCCAAGATGCTGGGCATGCCGCACCTTGTACCCTACCAGATGAGACACTCAGGGCCGTCGATAGATCGCCTCAAGCCGGACCGCAGCCAGGAGGAGTGTCAGAAGCGCGGAAGGTGGAAGAGCTGGAAGAGCCTCGTTCGCTACGAGAAGAGCGCCCGCCTCGGAAGCTTCTGGAACGAGCTTCCTGCCGACATACAGGCGCACATGCGCCTGTGCGAGGATCAGCTCGTCGAGTTCCTCTGGTCGCCCGAGCGTGCCCCAAAGCCACCGCCCGTCCGCGGCTAGCCAGGGATGGCACCTACATGGCCGACCTGTTCTCCGGCTCGGGCAAGGTTGCTCGAGCGGTGATGCAACTGGGGTTCTCCGCCAAGGCCTGGGACATCATCCACGGTCCCAACCATGACATCACCGACCCGGTTGTGCTCAGGCTGCTGCTCTCGGACATCCGTGACGGCAAGGTCTTCGCCGCCATGATTGCCCTCCCGTGCACCTCGCTGACTATCGCTCGGGATAGGACCTTTCAGATACGTTCACGCACCCAACCGTGGGGGACCGACCTTACTGATGCTACCGATCGTGACCGAGCCTCACTCGAGACTGGTAACAGGATAATTCGGGCTGTACTTCGCATTCTTAGACATCTCAATCGTTATAAGATTCCTTGGATACTTGAAAATCCGTCAACGTCCCGCCTGTGGTTCATCCCAGAGATACTTGCTCTGTGCAGTCAGGCACGCGCTGAATGGCGACTTACAGATTTCTGTCAATGGGGAACGCCGTGGCGAAAAAGGACATGGCTGGTTTGCGGCAACATGGACCCTGAAGACACCTGCCCCCTGGACAGAGTGTGCACTGGAAAAGCTGGTATGTGCTCTCGCACTCTCCGCCGTCATATCGAGCTGAGTGGGCGCAATGACCAGAATGTGTTGTGGACCTCTATTGCCCAGCCTTACCCCTCTCGCCTGGCCACTGCTCTAGGTAAGTCTCTCGCTGCTAAAAAGCACGCCTCCTGCTCGTACAACTCGGGCGGCCCCGTACGCACTGGGGCCCAATAAGGCTCTGGCCTTAAGTGCTTTCGCTTTTCCCCTCCTCTCTTCCCCTCCTTCGCCCCTGTGAACCCTTTTCAATTCGGGATGTTTGGAATGCCTTGGACGTGTGATTCTAACGATCTCACGTCGTCCCAGCTGTGTGTTGTAACCCTGTCAGATAGTAGCAGATCTTCTCCGCTGGAAAACACGGTCTCATTATGTTAGTGCGTGCACGGGAATGATGAGAAAGGTTTTTCGGGTGTCGTGTCCAGGCTTGGCCCCCCGCGTTGCTCATCGCAACCGCTCGGGCTCAAGCGTCAAAAGGCACCCGCCCTTTCGAACAATGTTCTCCCATCCCTTTCTTCAATGCTTTGCAGAATGCCTTGGACGTGTGATTCTAACGATCTCACGTCGTCCCAGCTGTGTGTTGTAACCCTGTCAGATAGTAGCAGATCTTCTCCGCTGGAAAAACACGGTCTCATTATTTTATTGTGTTCTGAGAGCGTTTCGCGGTAGGCCTATTGGAATGCCAAGACGGTTGATCCTTGCTCCAAGCCGACAGAGGCCCCAGGGCCAACATCGGCCAACGCCAGGAGGAAGAGGTTGCCTCCCCTCCTCCATGCGACGGGGACCTCCAGAGTCTTCAGGCACGACGTCCAGCGTCCAGAGCCCACCGCTGGAGTTTTTACTTCCGCCCACACGTGTGAGCTTTGTGGTCTGCAGGGCGTCTTCAGCGTAGTGCACACCCCCGGCACTGAGCCCTGCCTGGGATCGTTTCGCGGATGTGTGAGTCCTGAGTCCCGAGTCCCTTCCTGCCTGCCCGCCCGCCTGCTTCGTCCCGCGCGCCGTGGCCTCCCGCCTGCGCGTTTGCCGCTGTCTGCTTGCTTCTCGTTCCTTTCCTCCCTCTTCGTCGCCGCACAGCGCAGACTGCCAGGAGCCAGCGGCGCCGGCGCGATCGGTTCCTGACCTTGTGCAGCCTGGAGTCGGTTTGGGCGGGTTTGGCTTCACATGGGCCCGCACGGCACACGCTGGGGTTTTGGTGGAGTCGGGTTGTAGGACGTCTTTGTTGATTCGATGGTGTGCCCCGATGTCTCTCATAATTAGTGTGGTTTGGTATTCATGACATGGGCCGTATCTGCCGCGTCTCGACGGCGCCCGACGCCGCAAATAAGGTATCGCCTTGCCAGTAGGTGTCCATCAAGGCTGCTCGTAGTGTGTGCACGCGCATGTGCATGTGTACGTCCTCATTTACCCGTACCTCTGCATTGTGCGATTGTGCATGCGTTTTCCGATGAGTGTGCCACTCCCCGTAGAACGCTTGCATGTCACGCAGCTCTGATGTGTTACTATGGGGACTTCGCGGGCTCCTGGGGGAAGGGCCCCGGGTCTGCAAAGTTACGGTTTGGGGGAACGCCCTAGGGCCCAGGATCCGATCCCAACGGCACCTTTTCTTTCGTGCCGAGCCTTCCGCGGGAGCTCAGCTCAGCGCCGACCGTGGACCACGCTCTGCCCGCCAGCACGTGCTGACAGACCGCGCCGAGGCGGTGAGGTTGCCGTCGTCTGCACCCAGCCCCGCCGCATAGCCGCAGTCTCCGTCGCCGAGCGGGTGGCCGAGGAGCGTCCTGGTGGGCGGAAGCATGTCGATGAAATGGAGGAGAAGGAGGAGGAAGAGGAGGAGGAGGAGGAGGAGGAGGAGGGAGGAGGGAGGAGGAGGAGGAGGAGGAAGAGGAGGAGGAGGAGGAGGAAGAGGAGGAGGAGGAGGAGGGAGGGAGGAGGAGGAGGAGACGTCATGGTGGGTGGCAGGGGTGGGTGGCGAAGGCGGTGCAGCGGAGGTGGAGCAGGGGCTTGGCAGAGAGGTTGCCTGGCCCACGAAGGTATGGGATACAGTGGAGGCCCATGCCAAGAAACACCCTGCTTGCCTCCAGGGTGCCCTGGGTTTTCTTGGGTTTCGAGGGTGTTGCCACGGAAAGCGTGACGTTCCCACGCCAAAAATCCATGGACGTCCTGTGGTAGCAGGGTTGGGTTTTTTGTGGAAGGTTTCTTGTGGTCGGGCCTCCACTGCAGGGCGGGGTGGGGCGGGGCCAGACAGACAGGCAGTGAATACCCGCGACAGAGCACGTCTCCAGGGTAAAGGTCTAAGGTGAGCTTGGAGCACAGCACGGCACTCATGGGGCCCACTATGGAAAATTTTCAAAAACGAGTTGGAGCAATCCAGGCCCATATTCCGTGTGCTTTTAGCCAGACTCGCGGCAAGTTGGGCCAGGAGGGCGCAGTTGAGAAGGCAAGACAGCGAGAGAGAGAGAGGTGTGTGTATGTATGTATGTATGTATGTATGTATGTATGTATGTATGTATGTATGTATGTATGTATGCATGTTTGTATGTATGTATGTATGTATGTATGTACGTACGTATGTATGTATGTAAGAAGTTGGAGGGCTCGCTTCGCTTCGCCTCAGTACTGGTCATGTGTCCCTTCACGATGGTGGGCATTATCAGAGTAACGAGGGGCGTAATGAGCTTACGGAGTTCCAAAACGACCTAATGCGGCGCGCGTCGGGGGGGCAACGATTGCGGCAGCTTGGCGTGAGCGGACATTGCCGTTGGGGAGTTGATGCCAAATGTGGGTTTCTTCAGCGACTAGGTCACGCTTTGGAGTGGTTTGGAAATCGCCTAGGCCCAATCTCGAGCTCTTTTGCGGCTCCTTTGGGGACGTCTTGGGGCTCTTCAGGGCCATCTCGGGGCTCTTGTGGCGCGTGTTGGGGTGATATCGGCGGCCTGTTGGGCGGGCGGTCTGGGACGCCCGAAAGGTTGAAGAAGCAGGTGTCCGAGAATGCGCAACATCCCGAAATAGTGAACCTTCAATCCTTCAAGAGGCTTACGCCATGGCGCCGGCCCCCAGAAGGGAAAACTCGCGACGGGGGGTTCGCAAGCGAACTGTCGTCTGATGCGGGGTTTCTTGGGGCCTCTTGGAGGTTTTGGTGGTGCTCTTGGAAGCTTTTTGAGAGCTCCTGGGGGCCTCTTGGGGCTCTCTTGAGGCCGCTTCGGGGGGTCCTGGGGGCTTCTTGGGGGCGTGTTCGGGGACTTCGGGGTCATCCGCGAGGGAGATGCTGGGAACCCTTCGAGTTCTGCCTCTTGGGCCCCTCTTACGACCCTCCTGGCGGCCTCTTGGGGCGTGGCCGTCTTGGGACTCTCTTCGGCCTTCTCTGGGCCCTTTTGGGGGCCTCCTGGGCAGTCTTAGGCCAGTCTGGAGAACCTCTCGGGCTGCCTTTCGGCTTTCAGAAGGCTGGAAAGGCGAGAACACGAGAAGTTGCCAAGAATCTACGGTGAATGAATGGTGCTCCCCTCTTGAGGTTCTCTTGTGGTCTGTTGGAGCCGTCTTGGGCAGTCTTGAGGTCATCATGGTTGTTCTTGAGGCATCGTGAGCGTGTTGGGGCTGCTCCTGGGCCATCTTATAGAAGGCAGCCAGGACATCTTGGAGGCGGCGGAGAGGGCGGACTTCGAGGCCTCCGGGGCCCCGGAGGCGCGCTGGCGAGGTCGTACGGGAGGCCCTTTTTACACGAGACGTGGGCAGAGGAGAAGGAGGCGGGTGGGAAGCCCCTGTTACACGAGACGTGGGCAGAGGAGAAGGAGACGGCCACATGTCTCACACGCCTTGTCACCTCTCTCGTAGGCAGGGGTCGGCGGATTTTCGTGTTTCGGAGGTCGTAGGGGAAGCCCCTTTTGCACGAGACTGGGCAAAGGAGAAGGAGACGGCCAGATGTCTCACACGCCTTGTCACCTCTCTCGTAGGCAGGGGTCGGCGGATGTTCGTGCTTCGGAGGCCTCTTGGGGGTGCTGATTTGGCAGTCTTGCGCAGCTCCTGGAGTTCTGGGGCCGCTCGGGGCTCTCGTGAAGCCGGTTGGGCGCACTGGGAGGCGTCTCGGGGCGAACTTGGCCCGCTTGGTGGCTCTCCTGGGACCGTCCTGGCTCTGTTGGGCGGTCTGAGGGCTCTTTGAGGCTCTGTTGAAGCCGTCTTGGTGCGATTCGGGGGACCTGTGGGGCGGCCCCAGACGCCCGAAATCATGCAAAACCAGTTTGGGGAAATATTCGATCTGCGCGTGTTCGGGGGACTTTCCTGGGGATACTTTCTTTGTCGTCTTGGGGATGTCCCCGGGTTCAGGGTCCGCTGGGGGCTCTTGTGAAACGTTCGGACGTTCTGGAAGTGCTCTGGGAGGCGTCTCGGGGCCAACTTGGGCCGTCTGGGGGCTCTCTTGGGGCTGTCTTTGGGCTTGGTGGGCGGTCTGATGCTCGTCGGGGCTCTCCATGCGCTGTCTTGGGGCGATCTCGAGATTTTTTTCTATCACACGAAAACCACAGGACAATCAGCGATTTGTGCGCTTCGGGAGCCTCCTGGGAGTTCTCTTGCTCTTGTGAAGCCGTTCGGGCGCTCTGGAAGTGATTTGGGAGGCGTCTCGGGGCCAATCCAGGCCGTATGGGAACTCTCTTAGGGCAGTTTTGAAATTCGTTGGGCAGTCTGAGGGTGCTCTTTGGGGCTCTCAAGAAGCCGTCTTGGGGCGGTCTTGGGGGCCCTTAGGTGGTGTCGGACACCAGGAACCGAAGAGGCGGGTATACCGAAATCACGCAACAAAAGAAAAGGCAATACATTGTTCTGTGGTATCTGGGGGCCTCCTGCACGTCTTCTTTGGGAATGTTTAAACCGTCTCAGGGATGTCAGGAACCGCTTCTGGCTCTCGTGGGGCCCTGTTAGGCGTCCGCCTGATTGGTTTGGGCTCGTGTCTTGGCCCGGCTAGGGCACCCAGGAGGCTCGGAATGCTGAGGGAACGTTCGGTTTGGCCGCGAGAGAGGGCCCACGGATTTTACAGGGGAGAGGTTGCGCGCGCGTGTGGTCCACATGTTGCTATTTCACACGAATCCATTGAACATTGATTTGTAAGATCGCAGCGATATTTCAAAATTGGCTGATTCGGGAGGAGTGAGGAGGGGGAGACCGAGACCAGCGAGGATGACAGGAGCTCACATGTAGGATGGGCGGTCGCTCTCAACAAGTATGATAAATCTGGATGCGAAGGTAAGTCGTTAACCCAGCCTCCTGCAGAGGATACAGTCGATTCCCCCGTGGAATAAACAGAACCCATGCGGGCACTGGGCTAAGCCGCGGTGACAGGAATGAGGTCGGGGCTGAGACCGGGACGTTCTCAACAATTGTAGTAAACCCGTACGCGAAGGTAAGCCGTTCACCCAGCCTCCGGGGGGGGGATAAAGTTGATTCCCCCGTAGAAGAGAGAGAACCGATGCGGGCACTGGGCTAAACCCAGGGAGCCCAGCCAGCGCACGGAGCGAGCAAGAGGCGGGCACCGGGCGAAAACCTTTGGAGAGCGCAGCCAGCGCACGAGGCGCGCACGATCGGGCACCGCGCGAAAACCCGGGCAAGCCACAGAGTTGTTTAGAATCCACATGTTTGTTCCGACGCGCGGCCTTGCGTCTTGGGGAGCGCGCCGCGGGCACCAGGGCAAACGCCGCCTCGGGCGCGGTGGGTTCGCCGTGGGGTTTGCCGCGGCGCCGGCGTTGTCTACTTGTGCGCGGGTCCCACGGCTTGCCGCGGGTTTGTCGTAGTGTCGGCGTCGTCCATTTGGGCGCATCGAGAACAAACGGCGCGGCGACGTATGAGCCCCTTATTTAGGGGGGGTGAGGGTTGTTGAGAAGACAGCGCTTGGAGAACACCATGGAAAGTATGCTTGGTGTTACTTCCCGGATATACGCACCGCGACGTCAATGATGATGCAGAAACCCATCGCGACAACCACCAACACAACGCTTCGAGCATTATTCTGCCAGCTTCGGACAATATGGAGACACTGAGACTTACATAAGCGACGGTAGCCTTCAATCAAATGGGTGTGGTTTCGACGACGGTTGCTTCAATGCTATTTTGCCAACGGGTTTCATCGAAGTGGAGCTCAGGGTTGGGACTGGCTTTGGCTTACGCGGCGGCGGCTCAGTGATGTTGGACTGTAGAGAACCATGGTGAAGCTATCCTAGCTACGCGAACGAGTTATCCCTGCATAAACAGTCATTTGTGGAACGATGAACGTATCAATGAACCAAGCCCGATTTCGACTTGGCACCAAGTGGGTCGGCAATGCTCTAGCACTCCGTACTCACAACTATATGAGCCTTGGGGCACGCGGTGGCGAATCTTATCCCATGAACTTAAGAGTTGAGTCATCAGGGCACGTAAAATCTACACGTTAGGTCCAGGAGAGCCCCTCCAGCCTTCAGTCTGCAGTTTCCTGCTCGAGAATTCGTGCTACATCATTCGCCCTGCGGTTAGCTGATTAACCTGCTACCCAGTCAGGCTCGGATTGTGTAATAGCCGCATGGTTGTTGCATCATGTCTTCCCATGCGTCACCCTCGCGCAGGTGCTCGATCATGGACCCCTTGTTGAACGCAACCACCCAGCTCTCTCGCGCAGAAGACCGCCAAAGGCCGATGGGCAGCAAGGGGTCCGTGGTCGACCACGTAGTCTCTGGAGGTCCCTGGGGGGTTCTGGCGGTCCCCGCAAGCCGTTCAAGGTCTCTGGAGCTCCACAACAAAACCACAAGCATCCAAGAACATCGACCGTCAAGCTTCAACGCCTCGATCTTCGAGCGTCGGTCCCGTGGTCGAGCACGTACGCCTGCTTTCTCAAGTCACCCGCTCCTGCTGCGATGATGCTTCGCCCGCACACCTGGAGAGGAGCGCGGAGAGCAGACGGGGCGCAACGTGGGCTACGCCGTGCGGCTCGACTCCAAAACCTCAAGGAGCGCGCTCTGGACGAGGAGGAGGAGGATCTAGCATCGAGGATCGAGGAGGAGCAGAAGGAGGAGGAGGAAGAGGTCTCTTGGGGCCCTCTGTGGGCTCTCTAATGGCCCTCGTGGCGGCCTTCAGGGGCCTTTGGGGGCCATCTTGGGGGCCACGGCTGAAAAAAAGATGGCGGTGTCAATTCGGATCCCCCCTTGGGAGGCCGGTTACAGTTGCCTCTTGGAGTGATCTTGCGACGCTCTTGGGAGCCTCTTTGGCGGTCTTGGAGCTCTCTTGAGGCCCTCCTCAGCCGCTCTCGGGGCTCTCTTGGGTCATATTTGGGCCAGCGTGCGACCTCAGAGGCACATCGGGAGCGAAAAGCCGAGAATTCAAACAAACAAAATGAAAACTATGGTTTTCCTCCGGTGTTGTCAGGGTGTTGGCCTTGGGGGATATCGTGGAAGGCTCGGAGGGCGCTTGGACCCCTCTTGGGATGTCTCGTGGCATCATGGAGGTATGTCAGAAGCTAGATTGAGCCATCTTTTAGTGTCTTGAGCCATCCTAAAGGCCATCCCGCAGCATCTGGGACCCTCATGGAGCCATCTTGGGTCATCTTAAACGCTCCAGTCTGTCCGTCCCCCCGTTCAGACCCACGGGGATGGGGTAAGCTACGCCACCCGAAGGACGGCCGTCTCCCTCACTCCCACCCATGTTCCCGCCACATAAGTAGCACTCGACACTCAGCATGGGCAGGAGCCGCCACCGACCATCATCGGGAACCAATGCAGACGCTGGCTAGGTGCGCGACGCCCGCGAAATGCGCCGCGCGTGCCAGGGCACCCCCACCACCCCTGTCCAAGAGCAATGCAAAGTGATCGCGAGGCGCCCGCGCATGACCGTTGCCAGAAAGTATATTTAGTATGGTTTTTTTTTTTCCCCCGACAGGGATGATGAGCCTTCGCGCAGCAGGCAATATGCCGGCAACCCCCTCGTCCCTGTAATGTGATCGTTTGATGCCCGCGCATGATCCTGATGTTGCCGCGACGTGCATGTTGCAGTCGTTCTTGACAGGGATGGTGGGGGGTCATGGTTCTCGGTTCACCCCTGGTCAGGCGGGAGAGGGGGCGTAGATTAATCAGGAACAGTGATATGCCCCTTCCCGGTTAGGGGAAGAGAGGGTTTGGGAAGAGTCAAGAGAAGACACGTTACACCAGTTCCCCCCAGAGGATTGGTCGGATTACATGTATGGGCGAGGGCAACTAATGGCTTCGTACAAAATCGGAACACGTTGACATTACTTGGCCAAGTGGTGGAACTTGCCAGTGCTGGCCACGAACCTCGCCAGCTGAAGGTTCGATATCTCATTGGATGTGCTGTTGCCCCTGTGCTGGGCCGTACAGGTTTCTGGTCCATGGTGGCTTGCCCCCTGGCGCGGCGACAGGGAGACCCGGCTGCTCTTCTGCACCACCGGCGTGTTGCTGCAGCAGCTGAATGTTTCCCCCGACTTGCACGGGGTCACCCACGTCGTCGTCGACGAGGCAGCCGAGACTTCTTTTGAGAGTGAGGGATCACGCAGCCCAGGAGCGAGCAACCCTGGCCAGTACAAGGTCCTTGACGCTGTCCTGATGGATTTCATTTTCCGCAGGCCCAGCTTGGGCCTCCCAGGCCTTAAGGGCGGCCCTTGCAGGCAGGGAAGCTTTGGGGTCTGGCGCAAGTGCAACATGTTCTATTCAACCCATGCGCGTGCAGCCTACTCTGCACTACGGGGCAGAAGGCCCAGCATGTGGGGCTACAGGAGACGCCTATCAGTTCTGCTCTACTCTACAGGGCTACGTCGCTTACTTTAGGGGATTCTCATGCTTGCGGTCGAGATGAATCCATTTTTGTTCCTGGTGTTCGCCTGGCGGGCGCCACGTGGGAGCCCCATGTGCTAGTTGGGTTTCCCATGTTTTCGCTTGGTGGGCGCGTTTGGGCGCCCCGTGCGGTGGTGTTGGGTTTCAGGGGCTGTCCCTTTGAGAGCGCCCGTGGGCGCCACGTGCGGTGGTTGCGGTTTCCGGCGGCTCCGAGAAGAGCGCCACCTTGAGAGCGCCCGTGGGCGCCACGCCCGCCGGGGTTTTGAGAGCGCCCATCGGGCGCCACGTGCGGTTTTCGCTTTGAGAGCGCCCGTGGGCGCCACCTGCGTTCCCCGGGTGGGCGCCTCATCGGCGCCCCGTGTGCTGGCTGCATGCACCACATACGGTACGGTAGACTGCACCGTACCGACTGCACCATGCAACTGGCAACACACAGAGCGCACCGCAGACATATTCCTGTTCCCGAAGCGATTGGACTCTACCCCTCCCCCCCCCACCCACCCCCCAACCCACCGAGGTCTGGATTGAGCGTTCCCCTCCGCGTAATTGATGTTTTTCCCCATACCTATCCTGCGCTACTACTCATCCGAACTATCAGATAACAGCCGATCAACCAAACTTAGCATCCACACCCCACACCATCTCTGTCAAACCGTATCATCCGGTGCACACGCGATGATGTAAGAAGCGTGTTCTCAAAGAAGATTTGACGAAAGGAGTATGCAGGGAACATGCGCGCGCATTACAAAATCATGAAACAACCGATGGTTTTCGAACAAGTTCAAGGCATGGCCAGTCAAATCGATATCAAAGATTGTTCTGGCGTTTCAGCAAAATTAAACTTATCTGCGCGCGCGCCCTTGCTGAAATCATGAGAAAGCAATAGGTAATGAGCCATTCTGCACCATGGGAGCATGTGGGCCACACGCGCGCACATGCCGAACACGTTCCATAACCACTGCGCGCAGACCAACTCGCCAAATCATACACTTCGGGCCACACGCGGGCGTCTCCGCCTGCACACGTCGACATCGTTGCAGAATCAGCGGCTTCCTCAGAGTGTCAACACCTAGGTTTCAAAAGCATCTGAAAATCAATGTTTGCCAGCGTGGACCCCAAACAGTGAGATATTGCACAGTGCATGCGTTAGCTATGCGGTGCAAGCTTTGTGGCGAGATATGCGGCAACGAGGCGGCACCACCCAGGCACCAGCCGAAACCTCGACACACCCACCCAGCGCATGAGGCGGCAACGAGGCTGCACCAACAAGCCACCAGCCGACACCCCGACACTCAGCCCCCCCGAGACCAGGACAAAGACTAACCAGGACATTGGCAAGTTGGGGAATCGACACCCTTTCCTGCAAAGTCAGGTTTTGGTCGTTCAGTGCATTTTTGGGTGGCTGTACTTGATCGTCCAGTGCATTTGTTCTGTTGCTGCACTGCAGCAGGGTTCGGGTCGTTGTCCAGATCTAGGGGAGGTTTTGCAGGCTTTCATTGCTTTAGTGCGGGTTTGTTCCGAGCATGTTGCAGTGCAGTTTTTGTCCGTGCCGCCCTCTTGTGCAGTGCAGGTTTTTGTCGTGCCGCCGTCGGGAAAATTGGTTTCGAGGTATGTTGGATGTCCCGGTCCAGCGTGTCTAAGCTTAGGGGTCTCTGAGGCACAGTCAGCCAGCAGCGAGGCGGCACCAAGAGGGCACCGGCCGAAATCCCGACACACCAACCTAGCGCACGAGGCGGCGATGGGGCCCGAACGAGGCGGCACCAACCAGGCACCATCGGAGACCCCGACACATCCACCCAGCGCACGAGGCGGCAACGAGGCGGCAACGATCCGTAGCCATTTTGGCTCAAGGAGCGGCCTGCGAGGGGGGGGGCCGCGCGCCGCGCCGCGCGGCGCTGCCAGCGCTGGCTGTTTGTTCGCTTGGCCGCCGCTGGGATCCCGCGTCGCGGCGGCTCTGCGCGCGCGCGGCAACAATGCGGCAACGAGGCGGCACCAATCGGGCACCGGCCGAAACCCCGACATGCCCACCTTGCGCACAAGGCGGAAACCAGGCGGCACCAGCCAGGCACCAGCCGACACCCTGACACACCCATCCAATTCCTCAGAGCAAGAACCCCAAGTGCAAGCATTGTTGGTGGAAACGCTTTTCCATTAAATATGCCAGGCAGGCTGAATATCTGCGAGCGCGCACTTCCCCATCATCCTCATAAGCACAATCGTTGTCATCATCGCCAGCGTCATCATTGCCGTCGTCGTCGTGAATGGGACGGGGACCGCAAGCATGATGCCAGTGGAGCTGGTTGGCAGATTCTGGGCAGCGGTTCTTGGGAGGTTCTGGCTCGTGCTACCATTCCGCGCCCAGGCGGCATAGTGACGACGGCTTAGCCCTCCGCGCTTCATGAGCTCACGCTGGTGGCCAACAGGTTGCTTCGCACTGGGCGTGTAGCTTTCCAAGATGGCAGCACTGTCTTACGTCTTTTGTGAACTGGTGGCGCTTTACTTTGCAGGTGGCCACCACCTCGTACTGATTGGAGCCATCTCTCCCTGGAGGGTATCATAGTTAGGGAAAAACATTACCGCCGTCGTCACCCTCATCGTCGATGTCGTCGCCCTCGTCAAATTTCTCCGCGCGCGCACTTCCGCATCATCCTCTCTGGCGTCATCGTCATCATCATCGCCAGAGCCATCATTGCCACAGTCATTTTATCACCGTCAGCTTCATCATTATCGTCGTCGAAACCATCCCCACCGCCATTATCGTAATCGTCACTTTCGCCGCCCTCCTGAGGTTTGCCGACAATTTGTGGGTGGGAAGGTGGGATGTGTGCACGAGCATTGGAAGTGGTCACGCGCGAATGCAGTCAAATGAATGACAGCGTTTAGATGGTTCCATACACAGATTGCACAACATAGCTGGCACATATCGAGACTGAAAGAGCTTACACCTTGAGATCCACTGTTTAAGACTCGTCTCATATGCTTTACTTTACATGGCCATGATATCAGCCTACGGAGCCATACGGTCATCTTACAGCACTCTACGAAGCAAGCCATCGGATCAGCCTAGGGACCCATAGGATCGGTTTGGCCCACGGAACGATCGGACTACATTACGAAGCCATGGGATTTGCCAGCTCTATCATACGCAGTACCTCTTGCCCCATCCAACAGAATCTCCTCAAAGACTTACTCTCGCCTTGAAGCTGGACGGGGCCGCATCCACACCGGCGCACTTTCCTTTGAACATGATTTTGCGCGGCGCTTTCTTTTTGCGAATCATTCCATGCGGTTACGTAACCGCACCAAGCTTGGGCATTTCCTTTTTTGCAAATAACATAATGCGGCACAAAGCCACTGATTGGCAACAGCGTGTTGTAACGGCCCACATCGAATACGTCAGCGCGGGTTCCATCCACCCGCGCGCTCATGCCGAAATAATCCGAGAAACATGCGAAAGTCTAGTAAATTCGCTGATTTCACATATCTGTCAGACTTCTTGTGCGCACAGGCGCAAGCCATAAGAACATACTATGTTTCCTGACAAAATAAATAAGAGCTCGTTCTTTCGCTACGGAATTTCGCACGAAATCTAAATGCTTCGCGTATCCCCACAAACTGGGCGTTTTGCTGGCATTGTGTTGGCTCCGCCGCCGGCTACCCAGCCGAACCTGCCCCGACGCACCTGACCAGACGCCGACCTGACGCCCCAGAGGGCAGCCGACCGCAGCTATCCTCTCCACGTGGTGCAGGCCTCAGGCCTGCCGGGCTCGCCGTGGCTGTGCCTTTGGTTATTCAGTTAAAATGGGCCCCTTAGGCCAAGAAGGAACGCGGTTCGATATCATCGCTATCACCTAAAGTGGGGCCCGTTAGGCCAAAGGTTTCGCTGCCTCGTCCATACAGCATGCAGTGGTCGCTTGCCACCCCTGGTTTGGACCTCCGACATCGCGTATGTTCGGGGGTTTGGGCGGGGACCTCCGACGGCGGCCCCCCGCTTTGTATCACCCTAGGCGCGACTCCCACAGCACTCGCTGTGGCCGACGTCCGACTTGCAGGCAGTGCCCCTTCCCTGGTGCCACTCCCTGCCCAGCCCCCGTTGCGCCCGGCCCTCGGGACAGGGACAGCGGACTGCTGACAATACTGGCTCGTGGGTCACCGCCGGGGCCGTGGTCCACCTATTCCACCCCTTTGTTTCACCCTAGACGCGGCTGCTGCAGTCCCTGCTGTGGCAGTCGCTTGACTTGCAGGCAGTGCTCCTTCCCTGGTGCCTCTCCCTGCCCAGCCCCCACTGCCCCCCGCCCTTGGGAACTCGGGCAGTGGCCTGCTGACAATACTGACTCGTGGGCTACCGCTGGGGCTGCGGTCCACCTGTCCCCTATCGGCCTCTGACCTGCTTTCGTTGTTTTCACCCCTGGCGCGTCCCTTCCCCGCGCTACCAGGCGGCCCGCCGGGTCGGGGTGTCCCCCACCCTCGGTTTGGCCCTCGCTCTCCCCGTCGGTCGGTGGTGTCGTCCCCCACCGTCCTGGTTCCCCGCTTTTCCGCCCAAGTCTCTGTTTCTCTTCCCCTTTACGGGGCCCACGGCCGTCTGTGACTCAGCTCAGACCTCCGTGCTCCTGCCACGCTGCGGCTGCAACCCTGGTTTCAGTCCCGGGTCTTCCCCGTGGTGCCGATGCTCGCCTGTCGCCATT